ATATTATTATTAAATGATCTTTTATATAACTAGATTTTTATTACCATTATTGTTTTCTTTTATACATTTTTAATTTTATTAATACCGTTAGCCATGCTTTCTTTCTTTGTTTTGTGTGGGCTAAAATGGCCTTGGAATATACATTAAACCCAACTAGTAGATTAGTAAGATTTAGGTGGCGTTCGATAACGCCAAATTGACCACTAAACACTAAAAATTTTGCTTTTCGTGTTTGGTGGTCATTTAGTTGTGCCTCTTAACGGAACCACCAAACACCGAAAATCCCTCCAAATATTTTAAATGCTATTCAAAAGTGTTAGGTTCATAGTAATATTTTCTTATTCTGCCTATTTTTACCCATTCTTTTCCATTCGGACTTTAGATTTATTAAACGGCACCTTAATGTTTGGAAAATTACAGATAGATATTTTTATACTTTAGGGGTAATGACAATTTAGGGCTTGAATTTGCAAGTGAAACATTCTACTAAACTGAAATTTGAAAAGGGTTAGACTATGATATGGGAAAGATATCATATGCGAATTTTTTTTGACCAATCAACTGGTATCATAAATGTGATAGCATATTAGGTGTTATTTATCAAAATTCATGCGTGGGTTTTGATTGGTCAAAACTCTTCCTATACCATATCTTTCCCATATCATAGATTTTCCCATTTGAGAAATATACACTAAAGCCGGGCATCGTTAACTGAGGTTATAGTGTAAAATAAAATTACCAAGATATCCATTATCTCCTAATTTATTTAAGATTAATTATGTTATTTCTGAGCAGCTTGGAAAAATATACTAGCAAAATAGGTGTATGGGCCAAAACCTCACTAAGGAGTAAATCAGAATTTTTAGGCTTTGTTCGATTTTGAAAGGGTTATATCATTTTAACTAGTTTCTTTCATTTGTCATTTGTGCATCAGATAAAATATCAAGTGTTAGCTTCGTAACAAAAGTAACTGAAAATGTTTTGTGACTACATTGAAGAGTTGATTTAGTTCAATCTGTTCAATGATCAAACCCCTATATTGGACTGATCAGTTTTCTATTTCTTCTTCTTCTTCGTCCATGTGCACTTGGTTGTTTTTTTTTTTTTTGGCTGGACAATCAGTTGAAAAACGTTACTCCAAACAGGGTTTTATAACCATAAATAAGAAGACGTACACCAAGATGCCGCCATATGTCTTTCAGGTGCTGTAGTACCGTTCCCAACAAGGATACTTTTTTTAGCTCTGGTTTTGGTGAGGAAGAATAGAGAGAGAGAAATAGAATTTGGATGGTGAAGAGAAGGGTATTTATGATATTTTAAAACTTTCAAAGAGCAAATGACATCACATAGGTGTAATTAAGGGATAATGGGTGACTTTGGGTGTATATTTCCCAAAGTTGAGGGTACTCAAATGTCCCACTTAGACTTTTAAGTGTTACTATCCTCAAAGTATAATATAGGGTACCTATATCTAATTTTTCCTAAATGCCGATTGCCCTTATTTGCATCTTGTGCGCTGACCCCGCTAACATACTAATAGTGTCTAGTGAGTGTATTCTCCCAGGAATGAATTGCACTTGATGGTTGTGGTAAGGTTTGTTTAACCAATAATTAACGTGGGGAATAATATATGCTTGATGGTTGTTGTGGGGCATCAACGTTATTATTTGTTAAGCAGCTCTAACACAGTCATCAAGTGCACTTCATCCCGACTCTCAAAGGGAGCAGGGATACCGACTGACCATTTAGGAGGTATTTGGTAGGGTGTATTGCATTATTCTTGTATTTTGGGTTGATCGAAATATGTATTGTCATATTACATATGATTAAATATGTTAGGGCTGCAATTGAATCAAACTCTAATTGAATAATTTGGGTTTGAATTTGATTAGGCTAAATTTGAGTTTGATTTTAATTTATCTTGAATATCAAGGTAAACTTAATCAGTTGTTTGAATTCAAATTTGAGTTGGATTAATAAAAATTTCAACATGAAAGCTTGCGAACCTGACTTGATTAACATACATACATATGTCCACACACACACAATCAGGCTTCCAAGCCTATAACTTATATTACACATTGGTCATGCTAAGTCAGGATAGAAATAATCACCCTTGGTAACAGGAGTTCCAAATTTGAACAACCTGCCCAAAGCAAACTCACTTGAACCCCTTTCTCCTTGCAAAATTTCAAGAAACGTGGCAAAATATCATTGGATGGTCCACAAGTCTAAAAGATATCAACTTTTCAGGAAACACGGGAAAAAATTCATTGGATGGTCCAGAAAATTTTCTGGACTAATGGTGATTTGCATTCCCGATCTCCTACCCACAAGACATCTCCACTAGGCATTGTGAACATCTCCCCATATCAATGACATATAAGGGAGATGTTCCCAATGCATGTCTATAGTCTCCAAGTCCGGATCACCTCTTCACACTGTGTGCCTCATACCGACCTCACAACATGTCTTGGTTGCACATCGGGAACATCTTCCGTACTTATATTTATTATATATATTCATGAAGAGATGTTCCCAATATAGGAAGGGATGTGGCTGTGAGGCAGGTGTGAGGTGCACTTTCTGAAAAGCAGATCCCAATTCATAGTCTCCTGGACAAGAACGTGGAAAAAATATTTTGCGCCGGAGATCCAGCTGAGGACATGAGCTCCAACTTGGGAAACCGATAAGGGCTGTTTGGTTCATGGGAAATAGGGGTCTGAAGTTAGAATGGGAGTGGAATCCGATTACTATTCATGATGAAATGGCATTCCCCCATTTGAGGACCATTCCCTCTTCCTCCCCTCCTTTGGAAAATGAAATCCCATTCTAGCTTATTTCAAATCCAATTCTGATTCTTATTTAAACTAAACAAACCACGGGAATAGATCATCCCAATTCAGATTCCAACGGACTTTGATTCTGACTCTCTAAGTCCAACTGCAAACCTAACTGACCATAAGTAATAGCCTTTAAAGGATAAGAAAAAATAGAAGATGCCAACCCAATTGAATGGTCTATCAATTGAGAATTACCAAAAATGGCGACCCTCTTTCATTGCGATTACATTATTTAGCAGACGAAGAAGAACAGGTGTATGCTTCTTCTTCTGGCGCTCCCATCTTCTCCAATATTTGCTTCAATGTTTTTGTCATGACCATTGAAATCAAAGAAACAAAACCTAATAATATACCTTCCATCTTGTTAGTTGTTACAGAGCAACAAAGGAGGGAGAGAGGGAGAGAGTGGGGACAATAATTAAACTGGTGGTAGACCGGTAGTGCGTATTTCAATGGCGTCTTCAGTGGTGGTGTCGACGGAAACAATGGAAGATGACAAGGAGTGCGCAGATCATCATCAGGTCATGACCCTGGCTGCATGAATCCCCATCGTGACTCGTGAGCGGCAGAGTGAAGAAGCCGACTCACAGCAGTGCAGTGCTGTGACGACACCCAGAAAATTATGAAGATCAACAGCCCAAGTGCGCACCTATGCATACGTCCGATCATCAAGGAAAGCACCAACTCCTCCTCCTTCTCCATGGCCCTCCCCTCCCCATCAATACCACATTAGCTCTATCTTCAAATGCCATGCATCAACTTGCAACCTGGACGCCAAAGCTTCTGATCTCCGACCACCCTTCTCTTCTATCGGTACTTCTCAACTCCTCCTAATCTCGTTCTGAAGCGCTCACCAATTGGCTTGCTTCATCTGATGCTTTTCCAACTTTGTTTGAGGCGCGGGTTAACTTCTAAGTTCTAACACAACTTCCAGGGGGTTCATCATTATCAACATATTTTTTTCTTAGGGCTATTCCGAGCAAATTTGATGGTACGTGATAGTCTCAGTTTTATTTGTGTTCACGTAGCGTAGGGTACGTAGGATTAACTTCTTGTTAATTGGTCCTGTTTTTTTTTTTTTTTTTTATCCCTTAATATCGGAATAATATTCTTCAGAGAAAGACCTCTGGTGGAAGTTGGGTAATAGCTGCAGCACATCGATCGGGTGAATTGTCCGTTCCATTTATCTGGGCGCTATTCTGTGCCCCCTGGAAGATGGAAGCTGGAAGTTTCCCTGTAAATTTCCTTGGGTTACAAAATAGTCTGAGTTATAACAAAATCTTTCCCACCTTCAATAAATTTGCCACATTTTCAGAAGGCTACCTTGTGCTCTTATCAGTAATTGATAAGAGCGAACAGCGAACCATAAGTGATGTCAACAGTATCATTACAAATGCACTTACACTTGACCTCAAACATTAGCGTGCAGAACCAGATGGAATCCATCCACAAGAAGCTGAAGCTGGGTTCAATGCTTGGAGCATTCATTTGTGCCTCTGTAGGAATGGCAACGGCGGGATGGGGAATATATTTTGAAATGAATCCCCGTCCTGTCCCCAATTCCAATCCCCGCTGGATAAAAATTATCTTTCATCTCCAATCCCCAACAGAGATGGGTTTTCCATGGGGACCTGAATTCCCAAATTTTTTTAATTAATAATATTTAAAAAATAAATAAATTACTTAAAATAATAAAAAATTTTAAAATGTAAATAATATTTTGATATATTGGGGCAGGGTTCATACCCCATCCCTGACCCCAACCTCGGTCGGGGCCTGGCCAGGTATATGAGAAGTGTAAATACTATTCTATTCCTTGTAATTTGGATGTTACTTCAGTGGCTAGTGGCTACCGTAAGAACTGAGGGCAGACCATTCATCCAACTCTGCATTTGCAATTGAACTGCCTTGCTGGAGCTACTTTACTTAGGCCATTGAATGCAATGATTGGATATCTCTGCTAAGGTACAACATTTCTCTTGGATCTAACCTAAGGAATGAGAATAGCAATAGATAGCTTTTAGCCATCCCTCAATATAGAAAACACCCAAAAAGAGGAGTCATAAATAATGTAAAATTTTCTTTTTTTCAAACTTGAGTTTCTCTCATATGGGATATAATATGACACATCCAACTTTGCCCTGATTAGAATTGAACTTGATAAGAAACTTTGGGCAACTTTATACAGTCAAGAGCCTTTTTTTTTCCTAATTTTTACTATACAGTCTTACAGTCCACAGCCTTTAAACAAGGATGAAGTGATACGGAATCTATAGCCATTTGGTAAAGAGACAGGAGTCACTTGTGTCAACTTTCATCTCTATGATTTTCAGTCAATTAATTACAGCTGAATATTAGATTAACAGAATTACCAAAAGCTTAAACCTGTTTCATCTCTCACAGGCCTATCTGATATCTCTCTGGAAATATCCTTTGGTAGTACAGCCCATGAGTGTTTGAATCAACTCCTTGTTAAGTTTTGAGGCTTGGAAGAGAACCGTGGGTGCATGGCCCAACTCTCAATGAGGAATATACATCACAATCTGTACAATCTGCATTGGTTCAAAGCAAAAGATGAATTGGCCATCATTCCTCCAATTGGCGGATGCTAAGGAGTGTGTGTATAAACAAACGAATTTAAATATAAAATGAAGAAACCGCCACAAGTTTCCTAACCAGATTATCTCTGGGCAAACAACTAGCGGAGGCCATCATCCCTATCCTTAATACTATCTCATTGAATAGCCATGCTGTTTTCCAAAAGATAACGGCATTATATGATATCATAGTTAAAAATGGAATTATATGATATCACAGTAAGTGAGTTAAAAATATAGCCAAAAACAGGGGTAGCCCTCCCCAAAACCTAAATGTCCACCACACCCCAAGTCACATAATCAGAGAATCTCTGGCCAAACAACCAACCTACAAAGAAAAATGAAAACCATACAAAAAATAGCAACTTCAATAGTAATTATTAATTACAACGACAGAAACATCGTGTTGTTATTATTCAACTCCAACCTCATGAAACATGCCAAAGAAGAAGCTGATTAAAATACATACTATATCAGTTTATTAGCCTCCATAACCACAACTTAGTAAAGGGATAAGAGGATGGTTTAAATTCAACTGCTCACCTTGGACTTTTGACAAAGACTTTGGACAGCCTTACCAAAAACCTTCCATAAGTTATCCACGAAAACCCTTAAACTTGTTCCACAATGCAAAGCAAACAGTTCAACAAACCTGTTACAAATCAAAGAGGAAAACAACAAACCAAATGATATAATAGAACCACAAAATAAAGAGAAAAACAGAACCCAATCCCCTAATAAAATGAACACAAAACCAAACAAAACATTTGAGAAACAAAGCTTCATTTCCACTCCTCTGCATTTCCTCTATCCTATCAATGAAGAAAACTGGGGAACAATAAAACAAATCCTAGCAAAGGAGAAGCTATGAAGGAACTGAGGGAAGTAGGTTTACCTAAATAATAGCTCATCGTACCAGTTTTTAAGTGAAAAACTGTCAAGACTGTTGGAACAGACCAACAGAAGGCAGTTAGTTAGTTTTACAAGAGGATGCCACATCAGCTCAACTAACCAGCCACTTGTAATAACCGCCATCCACTTGTAACAACTGCCACCCAATTGGACTGTGAAGACTGTTGGAACAGACCAACAGAAGGCAATTAGTCAGTTAGAAGAAGAGGCCACATCAGCAGCCACTTGTCACAACTGCCATACACTTGTAACAGCTGTAACAGCCAAGATTGTAACACTATAAGTAGTAGAGCCAAAAAGGAATAAAGGAGGACGCTTTCAGAATTAAAGACTCTTTCAGCATTAAACTCTCTCTCTCTCTCTCTCCTTCCAAGAATTCAGGAGGTTGGCCCCTCGAAGAGCCCTGAGTTAGGCAGGTTCCTAACAATTTGGTATCAGAGCCAGCATGACCAACACAAGAAACACATCAGTAGACACCCGAGTGGATCAGATGGAGGTAGAGATCCATCGAATGTCTTCAGATCTCAAAGAAATGAAGGAAAGCTTCACTGCTCTCCTCCATCGACTGGAGCAGGGGGCAACAAACATTGACAGAGGAAGCCCCGAAGAGCGCGGCAATGAAAACAGTCGTAGAACAGGGGCGACAACACGAATAGCCAAAATCGACTTCCCCATATTCTCAGGCGGCGACCTAACCCCCTGGATTATCAGAGCAGAAAGGTATTTTGATTACCATGAAACACCAGAACAGGATAAGGTAGCTCTGGCTTCTGTGCATCTTGAAGGGGAAGCTATCCTCTAGTTTCAATGGTACCAAAGGGGGCACCCCCGTCAAACCTGGGCAAACTTCACGGACACCATGACTGTCCGTTTGGATCATTTGGGTTCGAAGATCTTGATGAAAACTTGGCAAAACTGCGGCAGGTGGGATCAGTAAAAGAATACCAGATGGAGTTCAAAAGGCTAGCCGTGAGAGTCCAAGGATGGGCTGAGAAGGCGCTAGTGGGAAGCTTCGTCGACGGCCTAAAGGAAGAATTGCGACTGGAAGTGAAGGCGATGCAGCCCACTTCCATCATCAATGCAGTAGCACTAGCAAGATTGTATGAGGACAAGTTCAGTCTAGCAAGAATGGTGCAGCGACTATGGGGTCCAGAAGCAAGAAGGGAGAAAGAAAATACAACAGCACCAGACAAGGAGGAAGGAGTACTGGGCCCAGGCCCACTAGTTCCTTTCAAACAACTGACTTGGGCAAAGATGCAAGCCCATAGAGACAAAGGTCTCTGTTACAACTGCGAAGAGAAATTTGGGCCGGGAAGACGACATCCCCGGTTGCGGAGAATCTAACCCAGGTTGGGAAATACAATCCAATGGCACGCCTGAAATATCCTTACAAGCCCTTACGGAACTTGCGTCCCCTCAAACAATGAGAGTTGCAGGGCTGATTCTAGGGCGCCAAAGTGTCAATCCTCATAGACAGTGGCAACTCCCTTAACTTCATAACCCATGTCTTGGTAGATAAAATGGGACTTCCGGTTCAGCCAACAACAGCATTTACGGTTCATGTGGCCAACGGTAACAGCCTCTCTTGCAATAGCATTTGCATGAGCCTACCACTAAAGATCCAGGGTCATCAGTTTGCGGTGGACCTATATCCTCTCCATCTCAGTGGAGTGGACGTGGTACTAGGCATTCAATGGTTAAGACAGCTAGGACCCGTGGTCTGTAACTGGGCCCGTCTCACCATGGACTTCACATCAAGAAACTCTGCAGTCCATCTACAAGGGCAGACATGCAAGGGCCCAGGCCCATCAGTCTTGCAACACTGACAAAGCAAAGAGGAGACCTAGATCAGCCCATATTCATGCGCATGGACTCAAATTTCCCTACTTAGATCTACAATCAAATTTCCTGCATTAGACCTTGAGGGCAAGGTCGCTCTAAAGGAAGGGGGGATTGTCAAGACTGTTGGAACAGACCAACAGAAGGCAGTTAGTTAGTTTTACAAGAGGAGGCCACATCAGCTCAACTAACCAGCCACTTGTAACAACTGCCACTCAATTGGACTGTGAAGACTGTTGGAACAGGCCAACAGAAGGCAGTTAGTCAGTTACAAGAAGAGGCCACATCAGCAGCCACTTGTCACAACTGCCATCCACTTGTAACAGCTGTAACAACTAAGATTGTAACACTACAAGTAGTAGAGCCAAAAAGGAAAACAGGGCAATAATGTGAACTGTGAAATGACAAAGGTGAGAACCAAGATATGACATGCCTTTTTCAAGAAAGCCATGTATACTTCACACAGTTAAGACATAGACATATGTGAATAAATGCAAAGGGCTTCACATGAATGGCAATTCCACTGTGTGATACCATTCTCTCAATGCTCAGCCTATCCATGTAGCGCATATAGATTCCATTCCACACCTCATTCCCCCCTTTCACTTTGATATATATATATTGATTTCAAACGGGCAATATCATTCAATACATAAGTATTTACCAAGGGGGTCCAGATTTCTTGATTCTAACTTATTGCTCCCCCCTATGTCTCCATCAGTGAACCAATTACCCACTCTTCTCTCACTGGGGCTACGGCTGGAGTTTGCAGCTGATGACAAGCCCCTACTGCCTTCTCCAACCAACATCAGACTTGCATAGGGGGCATAATGCATTGATTTTCAGCCATTTATCCACACACTCCCTATGAAAGAAATGGGAGCAAGGCAACTCTCTCAGCTCATCATTATTGGCATATCTTGCTAGGCAAATGCAGCATACCTGCACAAGATTGAAAATACTGTAAATAAGCAAGTATGCTAATCATGGGAAAATTGAGTTATTAGGTAAAGCTTGCTACCCAAGACATAAATACACACATATGCCAAACATTCAGCTGAATAGAAAAGCAACCAATAGGAGATAGGTTATTTGCAATTGCATAGTACAACCAAATTAATAAAAAATGTCAATTTGGTATAGATAATTGTTTACAACCCAGGAACATTTATTTTGGTAAAGGACAACTTATACCAAGGCATTTTATGAAGTCTCCTAGAGGTTTTTACATTATCATAGTAAAGATATCAATGTCAAACCAAAATTACTCACTACTATTGAAACCATGTGAAACAAAACGATTCCAAATTACTCAAAAAGATCCATGCGTGTTTGTTGATAAGAATCAGGACGAGTTCATCTCAGGTGTTATCTAAAAATTAGTACATGATGCTGAAATATTAGCCAAGTTAGAGTTAGTACAAAAACAAAAACAAAAACAAAAACAAAATAAAAAAGAAAGAAAAAAGAAACTTGTGGTAGGCCACGTGGAATTGCGAAACACATCGGGCACATTCACAGAAGATCTGTAGGTATGGAAACAGCAGACAGTAGTAATAAGCTACCCTATTGAGGTGATACAAGATGTCCCCACTGAATTCATGGAGTCATTTACATACTAGTGGAGAAGTAGCACTTCATAATTAACCATGAATAATACATGGATAACTCTCTTAATGTGCCAAAGATACAACAATCTCATGTACCTATCCTTCCTACAGATGAGTTCTTTTGTAGGCTTTAAAATACATTTTTCAAGACTTCACAAAAATAAGGCAGTTAAGCAAAAAGGACCATCATCTTGATGTGAGAATAGAAAACTCAAGAATACATTGCCTACAATTCCACAAACTACAAAAGTCAAATAATAAGCAAGTTTGTGAAGTTTACCGCATCTTCTCCTGAGATCACACGCTCTTTTTCTGTTCCTGCTGCCAACACCCCTCCTTCACCCACTCCTTCTGAGTTGACAGTTTCTCTTCCATCCCTATTTTGAGTTTTCTTCAACTTAAACTTGTAGGTTGGCAAAGAATTGATGGATTCTGAGGTGGCACCTCTAGTTTGAGTAAGATCCTCCCGGAAGCCCAGAATAGAAATTATACATGGTAAGCAGCAGCAGATTGTTGCACATAGAATGAAAGGCATGGCATACCCAATGCAGCTAAAGGTAAGGAACACTATACATAATCTACAAGAAGTCCAGAAATCAGTTAAGTTCTTCTCAAATTGGGTGAAAGAAAACAGAAATGTGATAAAGTTACAACCATCATACCTGTACAAGTTGGGAGCATCAGAAGAAGATGAATGACCACCAAATATCCAGACATTGCCAATAACAAACCACACCGCAAAGAAGCAATCTAAGGCCATCTTGAAGTGATCAACTAACACATTAAACCTGCTTAGGCAAAATTATAGCATTAAACTGCAGTCCTGTGATGCTTGGAAGGACCAAAAAAACAAAGCATAAAAAATAAGTAGATCCAAGGGGGATAAATAATTACAGAATAAGATACAAAGAACTGACAAATAAAGTGTCAAGTGTCAATGATGACATTTAAATCCCTTTGTTGAGATTCAGCAGTTTCTTATGATTTCTTTGTTTATAATGATTAGTTAGTGTTATTGGAACCAAGGCCCATTAGTTTATGTTGTTTTTTTTTGGAGCTATTTTTATGTTATGAACAGTAGCCGCCCTATTAAGGACATATTAGTCTTTGTAATCAATCTTTTTTATGAGTATATAAGACAATGAGTGGGGTGGCAAGATCATCATTGGCTTCTCCCCATCTCTTCTTCTCTTCTCACTAAGAACTCTTTCTTTCTTTCTTCTTTTTCACTGTTATAAAACCAGATTATTGTTTTCTCTTTTTCTACTTATATTTAGACTTCAAGAAGTAACAAACCTCCTCACTGATAGAATAATTCACAAACTGAAAAAAGAAAGTGCTTCAACAGGATTTCAAAATCCTAAGGATGTGAAGAACAGAATAGAATTATGAACAAAAGATGTCATCCAAACACAAAGGTTGAATTGGTCAGTAGTACAGTAATTAAGTTAACCATCTCTGTTTGAGAACTAGACTTGGTCCCATTTTGCAGTTGTAGCAGAGCCTGATCTGGTTCATCTACATGAAAGGCAACCCTAAGCTTGATTGCCTCAACGATGACACCAAACTTAGTTCTCCCGCCCATCCCACTCATCCAACACCAACACCCCAAACTTCATCACAATAACAACAAGAATGGTTAGTGCAAGAAGACCTAGAAAAAATTATAAAGAAGGTGGTCATTCTACCATTGAACAAAAGAATTAGTTCACTGATGCTAAATTGTTAATGTCATGCTGCTCCTACCTTTATTTTATTATTTTTTAAATCCAAGTAGACCACAATACTAAGCTTTCAAATTTGGCGTCTGAGTTAGATGCACTTGGCCTCAATTTTTTCTATCACAAGAAAATGATGAGGCATGCTCCATTTGGTTCTTAGTTGGACTACATCCATTGCTTGCCAAGTTGCAAATTAAGTCAAGAAATCAGTTCCACCATATTCTATAACTGCTCTCTTTACCAATGTTCTTTGCTGAAATTAGGGCTAAAAGGGTTCCATAAACACAGGCTTCATGATCCTTTAAACTCCATTTTCAAACTGCAGATTATCTTGGATAAATAACAATATGAAGCATTCCTTGCCAACTACAGAAAACACAGACAGACAATGACAGATATCTCAAAGGAGTATTTCAAAGATCATGCATGATGTGGACAACAGTACAAAACACTGGAAATACAGACAAACAAAGAAATATGGCAGGATTAGAATCAGATAACAGTACAACACACTGGAAAGAGTAACAAAATCATACCTTACACTTTGAGTTCCCACATTTTGACCATTCCAGGCAGCTGATACAGTTGTATGATCATCTTCATCTTCTGGGGCATGATTAACTGAGGTTGTGGTATAAGAGGTAGGTTCCAAATTAGGGTTGCTTTGAGAACCATTACGTTGCTGCATTGGGCCTTGTTCAAGTGCTTGACTGTTGCAGCGGCGATAACGCCAGTAAAGAAGAGGAAGAATTGCAACACACCCAGATGAATAACCCACAACCCATGCAAATAAAGGAGCATGCGGATTCTCATGTCTTGACAGAGATAAAACAACAATGGATGCAATAATCTGGCTCACAGTGACAACTAGCTCAATGGAAATCCATAACCCAGAATTCAAGGGGCTCCTGTGGTGACGGCCATACCCATCACCTCTCCTAATGAAAGAGGAGTTTCTGGAATCCAATCCATTTGAGGAAGATGATGAAGATTGAGATGTGGGAGCATGAGTGCTACTTGAAGGTCTGTCTTCATGCTGAGGAAGGTCCAAACCAAGTGAAGGATTGCCATGAGAAGAGTCCGACAAGGAAGCATCACCATCCCTCACAATATCAATGACATGTTCATGATCATTATGGTTATCTAGGTGCTCCATTAGCAAAGGGTAAGCCTCAGTTTGTCCTGCACAGTTTGTTTCCAGTGAGGGAATGGCCATCTACACCCACCAAATAGAACAGGTAGCTATAAGACTGCCATCTTTCTGAATCTCTTCCAAACTACTCTTCTAAAAAATAAATTTTAACTCCTTTTATATGCTAACCAGGTTGTACTGAACAACTTGCAACTTCTGCACCACAAGATCTGGATGAGTTAACTTCTTTTTTCAGGAAGTTAATCAATAAGCAACAAAGCAGGATCAGGGGGACCGAAGTTGATCATATACTATAATACTAATATGAATGAGGTTAATCAAGCTCTTAGGGCAGAATTGTAAAAATGCCATCTATTACAATACCATACCATGTACTCAAATTTGTTAGGGGGACACCTGGTAGCCATTTAGAATAAAGTGATTTTGTTCTAAATTTCCACTAAGAATATGACCATATTTAATCATCTAAAATTGGTTAATTTCAGGAATGCTAATAACATTCAAAATGAAATCATTTTAGAATTTAAAAAACCTAATCTATTTGAATTTTTCACTGGCAATCCTTAATGACTTGACTTTCAATGATGAGCTGGTGGGTTGAAATTCTATGGAAAATTGAAACTGAAATAATTCCACTGTACATAGCTTCAAAGCATCCCATGAGTAAGGATGCCCACTTGACTGCGCTTCAAACAGATAATTATTACAACACTAGAAATATTACGCAAACCATTTAATCCACAGAAAGAAAAGACATTTACTTCTCATCTCAAAAGACGGAAAAGGATTCAGAAAGTATATGACAATCGAATTTGTTCATAACCGATAGTGGATAAAAGATCCCCAGGATGGTACCAATTTCAGAATTCCACTGGTTTTGCTCCAAAATGAAGCAAGATACTGAAATTCGACAAAAAACAAGGCAACAGAAGATTGGTCCATGACATCTAAATTTCAAATAAATACCAGTCCTCTAACGTGAACAGGAACATAACAAAGATCGATCTCAAAGCACATAAGACCTTACCAACCGAATGAGCAGCAGAAAACCCAGACCTAATTCGAGCTCGAAAACAAAAACCCGGAGTCCATTTTCAGCTCTTTGGTTCACGCAACTGATCAAACGAAAACCCCAACTCTCAAAACCTTTGGACTGTCCTTCGGACCTTGAAGACTTAACCGATCGTACACTGTGACAAGTCAATCAATTCAATTTGCAGCTTCAAGTCTTCACGCGAATTCAATAAAGACTAGACGACGTGGGCAATGAATCGGGACCAATTGGAAAGACAAACGAAAGGAAGCCCTAAATGAAAGACAGGATTCATAAATCCGTTTGTTCCAGTTAAAACTATAAAAAATAAAAAATTAAAATAAATAAAACGCACCAGATTTCACTTAACTAGTCGGCAAGAGAGGAACAGTCAACAAGAGAATAAAGGAGGAGAGGGTTCTCACGTTCACTTCATTACTTGTACCCTTTCTGCTTTCCTTTCTTGAGAAATTGCGCCAGCTTTCGGCCTCCATTTCTTGACAGAGTCATCTTGGAATAAAAACAGAGAAACAGAAGAGGAAATATTTTTTACCGAGGTTAATTCAACAGATACTGACTTAAAAAGAAAAATCAAGACATACACGAAATCACATCAAAGACATACACTGTGTAGTGTCATTCCTCAGTTACAGCACAGCTTTTAAGCCGCTTGATGAGAATCGATGACAACACACAATTCGATTTATTCGAATACGGTGGGGTTCCGCGGGCACTGGAGTGGAAATATCTGTGGCTCTGGCCTGGCCTCCGGGCACTGGAGTGGAAATATCTCGCTATTACAAGTCGGTCCCCGTAGAAGACGGTGGGGTTCCGCGGGTAAGCACTTATTTTAGGTTCGGACCACATCAATATTTGCTTTGAAAAATAAGCTCAAATTATTATTCTTTTTTTTTATTAGTTCCGTGGGTAACCACTTATTTTAGGCCCGAACCACATCAATAACTACTTGTTTGCTTTGGAAAATAAGCTCAATAAAAAAAGAATAAGTGATTATTCTTAAAAATAAGTACTTAAAAAGAAGCTCAAATTTTTTATGGACCGTCTTAACCCAACACATCATTTTAATTTTTAAAAATACCTATGCCACCTTTATTTGAAGTAAGGGTTAGTTTAGTTTGCAATGAGAATCAGAATCCGAATAATCTATTTTTATAGTTTATTTGGTTTAGAAATGAATGAAAATAGAAATTGAAATCAGTATGAATGAGATTTTATTTTTAAGATAAGATTGAGAATGTCATTCCAATATAAATGGGAATGAGATTCTAATTCCATCCAACCAAACAATTAGAATCGGAATAGCCTTATTCTAATTCTGATTTCAAACCCCTATTCCTGTGAGCCTAAAGATATAGTAACAGCTTGTGGGTATTAGATCCAGAATGGCAAATAGCGTACATTTGTCCAAAACTCGATCTCTTTAGAATTGGATCCATGGATCCACTCCTATTGGTTCTATTTAGGGGTGCAAAATGGATCGGATCATGATCTATCCGATCTGTTCTGAGATCTGATTGCATCTGGTCAAATTTGAATCACCCCTATCCAATCCGATGTATTATATATATGCTATTTGTTTATTTATAAATATATTATTTATATTGTATTTTTATAAATTTGTTATGTTATTTATTTTTTATAAAAAAAATATGTATATATGATAAAAATAATTTGTTTTTTTTTTATTTAAATTGGTATATTATTTTTCTTTTAATAATTTATTAATTTTTTAAGAAAACAAGTCAAATCAAATCAGATCCAAAGATCCGATAGGATTCGAATTCATATCGAATCCTATCAGATTCGATCAGATCTTCCAATCGGACTGGATACAACATAAACAATGTCGGATCGGATTTGAATATACCCTGATTTGAATCCGATCCGATCAGTTTGCATCGCTAGTCCTATTCCATCCAATAAAATCCCATCTGATTTGGTTTAGATGTGTAATTGTGTATATTCATATATACACAAAATTTTGTATTGTATCTATGGCTTGAATGTAATGTTTGTATTAAACAGTCATAAGTTCAAATTTCATATAAATTATTTTTAATTCATTTTACTCATAAAATGTAATATTTGTTTTTATTTAATTTTATTAGTAATACATAATATTTTGATCATTTTTAGTTTATTTTATTAAAATTATTCAATATCTTATTGTACTCCGGTTCTTTATAAATCCAATATATAAAATTCCATTCAAAATCAAATTTGGATCTACCTATTTGGGCAGCATAGTTAATTATGACTCATTTATTGCTTCTTCTTTTATTTTCAGATATTTCAGTTGAACTTATCCAATATGTCTTATGTTTTTGGTATTATATTACGCGTGACAAGGGAATTAAGGGTGGGGACAGAACTGAAGTCCGCAAGAGGTAGTAATCGGATATCTAACTTAAAGAATTTACACAGCATTGTCGCTTATCCATAGAAAGGGCCCGGGTCCACTCAAAATTTGGAAAATGCTCAACCCAAGCTCATCCAAGGGTCCAAGGCCCTATCCATTGACCTTACCGAGAAGTACGGACAGGTTTATTGTAGATTTTTTAATCCCACTGCAGATTTATAAACATTCAAAATATCAAATACCTTCATTCTAAGCACTAATGCCTACTAGTGAATTGACATCAATTTCGACTAGCATCTATCTCAACTGTGCTTTGGGCCTAAACATTATGACTCTGGATTGAACCGTCATTCTCCCTTGACGTTACCATGAAGAGCCTGTAATCAACTATATTCCAAGGGAGGCCAACTGGTCAAGTGGCCATCTAATCAATTAAGGCAACAATACGTACTGGTGGGGGAAAGAGTAGGGTGCATGTGAGGTGCGCTGACCTTACATTGAAGAACCTGCAATTACATGGATTTGAACTCGTGCCTCCATTTGTAGAGGGATGCCAAGTGACCGTCTCAACTACCAAGTCATTTGGCTTAGCCAATAGCAATATGTCATGTTTAAAAAATCGATGTCATGGTTTTTTTTTCTCTTTCATATTGTCATCAAATGACCTCCTCTACTAGGAAAAAATAGAATAGCAGTCATATAAGCTAACCCCATGTAAACAAATAAAGATGATGTTGTAATTTACTAGGGTTTTAGTTGGGCAAGAGGTGAGGATTTGGTTAAACCCATCTATATCTATATTAGAAAGAAGAAAGAGGGGAGGCTAGGGGTCCTACCACATAAGCGTCCTTATCCTCTTAGGTCATTGTTTCCAACAAATACATTATTATTCCTTCTAATAAGATCATTCACGTCTCTATCCAATTTTTTTTTTTCCGCTTCATGGGGCTATACAACAAGGGGTAGCCCATCCTCTTTCCTTAACCCCCCAACCCCTGGTGGCAGCGAGATTTGGTGCCAGGTTTCCACTCCGACGAACCTTATTTTAGCTCTTTCTAATGAAGCAAGGGTACAAATTAGATAAACTTAAACTTATGTCAAAATCCAAATTTGCTAACCCAACCTTAACCAAATTTTTATTTAACCCACACAGCGCATGAACTTAGTTGCTGGTATTTTATAAAGAGGCTTTGTTCGCTTTTTGGTAAGTTACTTACCCGGGTAAATACAGGTAAGTGTTTTCTAGGAAAGACTTATCCAGATAAGTGCATTTGCCCATATTCTTTTATTTCCCATATAAATAAGGCAATGACCATTTTAACCATAAAAATCTAATAGCAAAAGGGGCATTTTTGTCCCATTCAAGTGATGGCAACTTTTCTCCCAAGTGAGAAAGTTATTTACCCACTTAGGAGATGGGTACCCAGGAAAATAAATTTTCCTTAGTCCCCACATAAATCTAAAAAAAGACACATGGGTTTCTTGGTCAATGGGAATCAAAATCCCATTGACCAACTTCCCTCCTCTCAAAATCCAAAAAAAAAGAATACCCTCAAAGAAGAAGCACCTTCTTATAGAAATCCAACCACCAAACCCATTTACTATAGAAAATGGATAATATTTATTTTATTTTATTATTTGCTTCTGTAGAATGTAAGAGGCTTCAATGCATGCAGAAAATTATATAAATTGGGTCTTTTATCTCTTCTGTCCACTAATTAATACCGCATGCCTTCTCACTTTTTATCATCGTTATCATTTAAGCCTTGTTCCAACTATATAGAGTTGATTACATGAATCTTGTTTTTCCATTCTTTTCTATTCAATGCCATATAAATGTATCAATTTTCTAAGGTGGGCAATACACAAAACATTATGAATTTGGGAGAATGAAGATTTCAAAGCTTGTTTTGAAATAAAATTATCAGTGTACAGAATCAGATGATACACATAAATCATTTCTTACTATTCCAACCCATGTTCCTTTCCGTCTCTCTAATTTTTCTGATTCCTCCAACTTGTAACAAATCACTTATTATTTACATGTGATCAAATCATCTTAAATCTAATTTTTTTTTAATATGTATCAATTGTCAGATACTATAAAGTAATCACTTACCTAAATCGTGCCACAGTGGCACAAACTTATTAGAATTGGACCAGACAAACTCCAACAATCTACAGCCCAAACGGTGTGGCAAGATGAGTCTCCGAGATAGATTATACTGATTCATGGTTCTGCGTCAAAAGAGTAAAGACTTTTAAAAGACTCGGGTTATCCCAGCAAACCCCCAGTTAGAAAGACCCAGCCCAACGAATGATCATAGTCCAATACAACCTGGTTGTCCTCACCTGGACATAATAAACCAGTATTTCGGTTCCAATCTAGAACAATTAGGCCCATTTTCTGTAGTTGAAAACTCGTTTGTTTTAGGCTAAGCACAATGTTGAATGACTAGAATTTAGCAATGAGAAAATGTATAAGCTTAAACAGTYAAAGACAGAAGGCTGGGTCATAGTACCATCTGCACAATTGGGCTGGACCTAATTGTCCACAATCAGTGGGACAAGGTTGCAGCTTAGGTGGTGGCTGAAAATTGATGCTTCCTGCTGTCCAAACCACCATCACCAGGCCGGCCCATGCTTCTGTAAAGCTTCAACTATGGTAGCTTTGGTTTAATCAGGCCCTAGAGACTAGAATGGGCCAAGGGCACGTAGGCACTAGTATTTTCAATCTATCGTCTATCGGGTTGATTGGACCAATCTCTAATCCATTATATTATTAATAAAACGTTGATTTGGTCAAGGACCCATTGGCCCAAATGGTTGAACTGTCAACTTCAACCATTCAACCTAAAAGCTTGTGCTCTTATATCAGGCTTGAGCGTTGAACCGTTAACAACAATAAGTTCACTTATACGTTGAACCATTTGGTCAAATAGATATTAGGTGAGATTGTTGAATAAGTCTTTTTTTTTTTTTTAATTCTCTAACACTGACATGCTTAATGGATTACCGGTTTTTATATTATTTTTAAAAATTTTATTTTTTATACTAATGACATCATAAGTTGAACCAATGATCAACATGGTTGAACCGCTGGTCCATTGACCAAAAGGAAAAGTGATTTGTCCTCGATATCTAATTTTGGAACACCATCAGACCAATCATGATATGACTGACACATCATCCCTGTACAAATGGACTTCACACGTTAAGATGACATGGAACATTGTGGTTGGCCAAGTTTGGGACCCACCAACTCTATATGGCTAGTGAAGTTTTATTAGATGCAGCCTCCTATTCCTTTTCTTTTATTATTTTTAAATGAGAAAGAGAATCAGAGAAAGGGGGACAAAACTTATTTGTCACAGAAAGTTTTAAAATAGATTAATATTTAAATAAAAATATGGTA